TTTATTTAACCTTCCTGGTGGTAATCCCGAGTGTGGCTCGGGGGGAAATTTTCCGTACCAAAAGCGGCAACCCCGAGCCACACTGGGGAGTCTTCCAGGTTCCTTCCCTGCGAGCGCCGGCATTGCAGGGGGGCGAAACTGACGAGAAATTCAAAAGTAGAAAAAATTAAAAATACTGAGCTAATCATACCGCCAGGGAGGTTAAAGCACTCCTTAAGCTCCAGTCATGTGATATTGCATAGCCTGATATTAGGTCATCAGTGTCCTGCAGGCAGTAGGGAGCATTTTCTCAGACTCTTGTGTCTTCCGGGTTCCTTCCCTGCGAGCGCCGGCATTGCAGGGGGGCGAAACTGACGAGAAATTCAAAAGTAGAAAAAATTAAAAATACTGAGCTAATCATACCGCCAGGGAGGTTAAAGCACTCCTTAAGCTCCAGTCATGTGATATTGCATAGCCTGATATTAGGTCATCAGTGTCCTGCAGGCAGTAGGGCGCATTTTCTCAGACTCTTGTGATCAGACCATGGAAAATGCCTTAACAAAGATTCCTCCATCCTTCTAAAAAGAAAAGCAGATGAAGTGGGGAGTACTGTGATCTATAGGGGGAGAAAGAAGGGCAGGAGCAATTGACTTTCTGTAGCAGATGTAGTAGACTCAATGAGAGAGAGATTATACAATAGGTACATAACATCCTCCTGACTTCATTATGACAGGGATATGGTATGACTTGATGCTCTGGCATGTACGTTCTGCTATTCAGAAGCATTGCAAGGAGACTTGGTGGCAGCTATGGCTGTGAAGTGAAGCTCAGCTACTTGATGTCTGGTTCCTATGTTGGCTGTACACATGGCAGTCATGTAGTCATCAATCAGAATCCAAGCACACACATTTCCTGGTTTGTAGCAAGCATATGATTAATCATTGCACAGAAATCAACTTAAAGAGGCTTGAGTGACATTGAGGTTGTGTCAATCCATTTCTACCCTTTGATAGTTTCCAGCAATGGATGACAATGTAAAATTTGTTGACTAAAAGCCATCACAACATAGTTGCATAGTGTGTGACCCAGTTACAGTTTTGTTGCATATAACCACTGTAGGTGCTTCAGCTATGAAAAAGAAAAACTGGATTTTGTTTGGTCAATTTGGTGCTGAGATTTGCACAACTCTGCCATACAGCACAGCTCTGTCTGGCAGAACAGGAGACCTGATGTTTGTCTGCTGCAATTAAGTAATGTTCACAGGTCTCCTCCCTATCTTATAGCCTGTGCCTGGACACTGAGGGCCCATTCACACCAATTGCTGTGCGATCCAGAGCGGCAGCTGCTGGAAAGCACAGCAATCGCTGAAAAAACGTCCCCCTTCGTTCTGGGGCAGGAGGGCGCATTGAAGTCAATGGCATTGCAGCCATAATCCCCCCCCCCCCACGCCCGCAGTGCAATTGGACGCGTGGTAAAGCATTGCCCGCATTCCGGTCCACTGCAAATGCAAAAAATGCTGCATGCTCTATAAGGGCCCTAAAAGGAGAAGCAGCAGACTGATTGGATCATCACCCCTCTGTCGCTCTGCTCTGTCCTCCTATCAGCATACTTCTGACACTGTAGCATAATTGATGGCTGCTTTTGCTTCCTGTAGTCTGAGCACTGAGGTACAAAGACTGCAATAAAAAAACAAAACCCATTTATAATGTGATACTCTTACTAAAAACATAGCTGCAATCATTTGTTTCTCTCTTGGATGTGCCTGGAGATCAGCTTCAAGTTATTAGTCTCCCTCATTCATTCCATGCTTCAGCTGTCTTCTTTTGTTCCAAAGTAATGTCTAATATCAGACAAGTAATAAAACTATATGGGGGTTTATTATTTTACAGCAGCTGTGTAGTGAGATTGTGTGTGCTGTGATACTAGTAACATTGGTTGGAAGAGCTTTAGACCTGTATGAGGAAAAAGAATATACCAAAAAGAAGAAATGTAGATTTTCAATAAAACAAATGGGGATATATGGCAAATGATATATTACATGTTATTTATTGATATTATATTGGTTAATCGTGCCCCTTTAAATACAATTTTCATTTCCCCCTTGTGTTTGAAAATGTATAGTTCTAAGCCCAGCTTTTCATTTTTTCTGTATTTGTTGCCTTTCCTATATCTAACTAATGTCTTGTGTCCCTTTTCAGAGACTTGGACGCCAGAGCAAAGAATGAACAGTACCGGTTAACTTTCAGACTGCCAAGAGATGAGCGGCTGGATGGACACACGGACTGCACACTGTGGACACCGTTTGCCAAGATGCACATCCCTGGTCAGATGTTTGTGTCCAATAACTACATCTGCTTTGCCAGTAAGGAAGAGGAAGCGTGCCATTTAATCATACCACTCCGTGAGGTGAGTTCACATTGTGACCAATGCTCCTTCTATTGCCAGCTGCTAGCTTTTATGGGAGAAAGCATTCAACAAGAATAGAAGGCTACAGCAGTAGGCAGAAAGTTGTCGGATCATTTTTATTGTCCATTCACCAGGCAGGGTGTGTGTTCTTGTACTGAAGCTTCAGTGGGGCTTGAGTATCTCTCTATGCTGCCTGGATCACAATACTGATTGAACAGAATTAACAATCCTTGGCATATAAAACAATTCCTATATGAATGTCAATTCCTGTATGAATGTGAATGCTCTACATGCCTAGTTAGGTGCCTAGTTGGGTACCACAAGCGTGACAATTTCACTCCCAATTTTGATGAGTTGGTTAGAACAAGTAGCACAACTCCTCTGTGTACTCGCATTTGATTGCCAAATTTATCTTTACGTTTCCCATGAAATGTAGACAGGGTGGTAAGCAGATCTCGGACATATACCAGAGAAATCTGCGGCGATATTTTGCAGGAACTATTGCAGGATTCTCTCTCGGCCTCTCACAGACTGACACAAATGTTTATCTTTCATAGTCTACCAAACTCCAAATTTTACACAAAATAGCTTTGAAGGGAGATTCTTGCTGTGCAAAATTCTCAAATGGGTTTCTGTTACCTCTCCCTTTGTAGAATCCTGGAAGATGGTAATTCGTAGACTAACTGCTTTTGAGAAAATCGCATACCAAATACTTAGCCCCCCTGCAAACACTCCTTGTTGTGGTCTTGCTCACTGGTGCTCTCCTCCACCACTATATA